GAGCATTAATATTATGAATTAATTGATATAAAATATGTTTTTTTTCGCTACACAGTTCTAACCATGTTTCAAAAATGGAAGCTAAAAGCTTCGAAATTAATTTTGTAATTAAATTAAAGGCATTAGATCCATTTCATCCTCAAGCGAATTTTGGAGTAACTTTTAGAATTACTGGGTTTTTAAAGGCACAGCAAAAAAATCATAATTCACTTTTCCAAGAATACAGAGAAATCTATTCATCCAGACAAGGGGTGTTTGGGTGTTCATTATCGCTGTATTTTGATGTATCAGTTATTAGTTACGTTTATATATATATATATATATATATATATATATATATATATATATATATATATATATATATATATATATATATATATATATATATATAGGAAGAGAGGGAAGTACACTGAGTTCTATCTACAAAAAATTAGCTAGGACCCTAATAGGTCCTACAATCAGAGTAGACCTGGGAACAACAGCTATGAAGAGATGGTTCTTCTTTCCTGAAAATATCCAATCTCCCGATCTGTAACTGGACTAACTTTATCGTCATACCCAAGACTGCTCGAATGATTGTCGACATGACAAATTCATACAAGATAATGGGACTAATTCAATTTTAACGTTGCTTGCTTATGTCCAAATCCGTACGTATTCTGGTGGACATTTTTCCCTAAATGTATCTCCGAGATTATTAGGTGACAATCGCGAGTGCGGTTACTGGACACTGTTCACACGACAATTAACTGGGCCTACCAGATTCGGTTCATTTATAATACACCTGCAATATTTAATCTTCCAGGTATAAACAGTATTATCACAATATACAATCAACCTGCACAAAAGAGTTTATTGCGTGTTAAACACGTATAGAATATACAAAACCTGTTGTATACGAATTCATTTGTCTTTCAGAAAACTACATTGTCTGCTTTGATAAAGAAAAAAAACATCAACACATATTGGTTATGTTACTACACGCGACTCGAGAATGTTGACCAGTCTAAACATAGTTTCATATATATGTATATAATAAAAAATACACGGCGATAATAAAACAGTAAAACATAAAAAAAGGCAAACGATTAAAAATTCGTCGAACTCTTTACACCAAAAGGCGACAGAATATTCCCAATACAATTTGTTTCAATCGAGGTGCGCATATTTTAAAACGCAATTGAAGTGTAAGGAATTTTTAGATTTTGCTCTAACATTTCGCTACATTAATTATCATTCCCATATTCACAACGTTTTGGCCTCTATATCTCTGAGATGAGGTATTATGATTACTTGCATTATTTGAATTATTCGGACCTTTTTCCTCATCTTCATTGCCATATTCACAAGGTTTGGGCCGTTGTACGCTCTGACATTCTCCAGGTGATTGGAATTTCGAATCGAACCCTTTATTTCTTTCACCTTCATTTGTTCTCCTTCTACGTGCCATGCCATTTCGGGATGTCTCACTTACTTCCCCTGACCCAGTTCTCCAAATTTTTTGGTTCACTACTGCTGTGGATTGGTTTTGAACTCAAAAATCTGTGCGCTTATCACTGGATCTAAGAAAGTTCTTTATCTACTGGTTGATGTGTCCTCAAGGGTTCGGTTCGAAATTTCAATCACCCGAAGAAAGCCGGAGAGTACAACGGCCAAAACATTGTGAATATGGAAATGAAGATGAGGATAACAGTCCGAATAATGTAAATAATGCAAGTAATCATAATACTTCATTTCAGAGATATAGAAGCCGAAATGTTATGAATATAGCAATGAAGGTGAGGATAACAGTCCGAACAATGTAAATAATGCAATTATTCATAATACATCATCTCAGAGATATAGAGGCTGAAAAGTTGTGAATATGGCTATGAAGATGAGGATAACAGTCCGAATATTGTAAATAATACAAAGAATCATATTACCTCATCTCAGAGATATAGACAGACAGCTATTCTAGTCAGTGCAAGTGAACCGGTATCTATTTCAGACTTTGGACTGTTTACAATATAAACGCCTCACTGGCCATCTCTCGTCTTTCTATCTTCTTTCCTTGAAAACCAGCGACGGTGGTCGAAAGTAGTCCGAACATTAAATATAATTATGGCTCGTACTTTTACAAGTTCGCACCTGACATCTAACGTCTTACTCGACGCCAGGAAAACCTCATGAAATCGTTCCCTGTCCTTTCTAGTCGATAAAACCTCTTAATATCTCCGATTTATAGTACCGTGTCGCGGTAAAACCGTTCCACCTGGCTCTTCACCATAAGCGTTTTGTGGCGTCATTTCAATTATATTTAAGTACAGGCCTACCTCGTTTTATTGCGATTTCTTTTATTGTGTTTCGGAAATATTGCTGTTTTGACAAATTTAAATTTTATGGCAACTCGAGTCAAACTGGTCAACTCTATGTGAATTCTTCTTGTCGTATTTTTCTAGTTTGCTAATTTTGTTATGTTTAAATCTTTGTTCTTTATTATTTAGAATTTAAGCCAATT